CTGGCAATGTGGTCGGCTGGCTCTGCTGGGCTCACGAATTCAATGGTTTATACCGGTGGGGCCCAGCCTGGCCCTGCAGAGCCACTGTTCAGAGACCCTTAACCAATCTGGCGCATGTGCGGGATCACTTCAGTAAGTTAATAACCTCAAGTGGGTGATGAACCCCAGCTGAGACCTTAAGAGAACTACAGGATGTTTCTGGTTGATTTCAGATCCTTTATCACCAGCTCATCTGCCTCAGTGGCTAACACACATTTGATGAGTTAAAGGCTCAGCCTGTCCTGGTTTGCTTGTGTTACACTGCCTGCAACAGTGTTCTGACTGCACCAGTTCAGCCAGCAGCCTCGACTGAAGCCACGACAGGTAACCTTGCTGGAGAAAACCCCAGCTGTACAATAATCCCATCCTTAACCTCACACATTTTTAAACCCAGATTCAGACGGTACCACACCCCATCCTCATCACAGTTTGTTCTATTGAAAATTACCCAAGTGTAGAATTGCACTAAAGACAAATATGGCTGCGGTACCACATTTTGTTACCAAGTGAGTTAGATAAAAGAGCACAACTGAGGGAGTTGGCTTCTGCTCTTTATGAAAACCCCTTGAAGTTTTAAAGGTGATGCAGTACCTGCCACTTCTTGCACACCTCCGTCTCCGAAACGTCCATGTGGTTTCTGCATCACACCCCTGGCTTTCGCTTTGAGAGACATCTGCTAGAAACTGATATAACAGAACCACCACAACACAGATATTCTTCTAGAACTAATCGGATGAGAACTTATTAGCTTATCAGCAGGGCTGGAGAAAGCTTCTTTTCAAATGTGACCTATTCCAGTTGCACGTTACATGTGTAAGGGGCTGATTTTTAAATCAGCACGTAGCAGAGTTGGAGGGGGGGGGGATTCATTTTAAAAACTGATCGGTTACAGTGATGCAGTGTGTGCAGTTAGACAGATAGATGATAATCCCGTAGGGAAATTGATGAATTGAGATGTTACTCACATCTCACACCTCAAAAAGCAATTTCTCCCTCTTTGATTAGTGTTTTAATTTACACAGGGAACTGAAATGGGTTATTTAAAAAAAATGTAGAAATTATTTTTCTCTATTCCACCAGCTATCGGGTATCTTGAATCTGAGGGGATTTAAAATAGTGAAGGTGCCTGATGAGACGAGTCTCCACGCTCTCTCTTACCAGATGGTATCGCTGCTCTGCTCAGTCTTGTTTTGGCAACTTGCAGATGTTTCGAAACTGCCCCGGCAGCCGTTAGGCACAATCGCACAGCCCGTCAGGCTTCACGAGCACCTGACCTTGCAGAAACCATCTTCTCCGGGGCTCTGAAGAGGTGGAAGTCAGACAGGGTGACACGGTGTGTGGCACTGTCACACTGCGGTCACCACCCTGTGGACCCCCGAGAGTCAAAGATCTGCCAGGCACAAGTCACAAGCAACTGGGGCCCAAGCCCAGCACATCACCCAAAACCAAAAACCTCAGCAACTCGATTAACAGACAGGAGGCTGTCTGTTAATCGAGTTGCTGAGGTTTTTGGTTTTGGGTGCTGTGCTGGGCTTTCTTTTCAAAACGATCTGCTATAATCAATAGAGGTAGGGGCATGAAATATAGGTGTGGTGAAAGATAATCTCTCATGAATTAACACTCCTTTGCTCTGTTCGTCATCCTGTGAAGATTTCGGTTTCAGACACAGAGCTGATCTGCTTTCTGTGTTTTATACACATTACACTGCCCTGCTGTGAACAACACTAGGACGCTTCTAGTAGTGTTAAACCAGTCAAGGGAGCAAGAAGAGTTTCCTATTGAGAAACCGTGCTTGCAAATCATAAGACAGCACTCTGATTGCTACTGTGTGACTGTCCCGGCTATCAGCATCTTACAGTAAAGACAGCAGGGAACAGGCTCAGCTTCAAATCATATCACATATTGCAATGTGCACAATCAGGTTTCCTAACAGAAAAAGAGAGCAACCTTTCTCACACATGCGAGATCCCACACAGTTCGGGCTGCCAGACCAAGACAAGTGCATCAGGCAGATTGAGGCACAACTCTCCCCGGAGTACAAACCTGAGCCTGCAGAAGACGACTGGAGAAACACGTTTCCCAGGGAACAGGACTGAAGAGTGCATCGCAATACGTAGCATATCACAAAAATAAAACGCATACAGTGCTGTGAAAAAGTATGTTTGTTGCTTTTTACATTTTTGGACAAAAGGATATTTGATCGTCATTTCAACAATATTGAGGTGATCAATATTGGTGATATAATATAAGGTGATCCAACTTGAAAAAAATCACATTTTTCACTCATTTGTACTATTCAAATCAACAGAAATGTTATTGCCTTGTGCGGAAAACGTTAGTACATCCCTACCTTTATCATTGCATGAAATGCCTCCAATTAGAATCAGGTGCACCAAAACAGGTGCAAATGATTAGAACATCACTAGAGAGTAACTTGGAGGGCACTGCCCGATACAAACATCAGAAAGCTGAGGTGTGTGGCTACATCATGTGAAGGTCAGAAGAGGTCTCTCAGGCCCTCAGAAGAACGATTGTCGATGCCTAGGAGTCTGGGAAGGGTTTTAAAGCCATTTCCAAGCAATTTGTAGTCAATCACTCCACTGTCCGAAAGACCATCTACAAATGGAGAAAATTTCAAAATTTCGCTGCCAATCTGTCCAGGCCAGGTTGTCCCACCAAATTCAGCCCAAGAGCTGACCGAAAGATGCTGCAGGACGTCTCCAAGAACTCCAGGAAAACATCAAGGGTTTTACAGGCAAGTCTTGCCTCTGTCAATGTCAAAGTGCATGAGTCAACCATCCGAAAGGGACTGCACAACTTTGCGAGATCAGGAAGGAAGAAGCCTCTGCTTTCAAAAAAATAATATAGACGCACGACTGAAGTTTGCCAGACAACACCTAGGTGAAGATCACGACTATTGAAACAATGTTCTCTGGACGAATGAGACAAAGGTAGAGCTCTTTGGCCACAATGCCAGATGTCATGTTTGGCAAAAACAAAAAACTGCCTTTTACCAAAAGAATCTCATAACAACTGTGGTGGAAGCATTATGGTTTGGGGCTGCTATTCTGCTTCAGGGCCCGGCCAGCTTGCCATCATAGAGACAATTACAAGAAAACACCTACAATAAGTGATTTCTGCCAAAGGGGGCAACATCAGCTATTGAAATTAGGGAGTGTACTTATTTTTTCCACAGCAGATAATTGCATTTCTGACTTTTGTTATTGAATAAATGATTGCAAAGAATAATTTTCATTTTTATTTGTTAAATTAGATCACGTTTATCTATCAATATTGTTGAAATGAAGATCAAATATCCATACATACAAATATGTTGGAAAAACACACCTTTTCATGGGGTGCACTTTTTTACAGCACTGTACGCATTCTAACCTTTACAAGCCTGAGTCTGTGGGCAGCATTCAAAGAGTTTACGAATGTGATGTTCAGTAATATGATTAATATTTTTTAAATGTCAACTGCCATTCTACCCAGGTTACACTGAAGAGAGATCAGGCCTGATCCAATAAAGACAGGACTACACACACAGCAATGTAGCTCTGAACAAGGTAGCTACTGCTTCTGAACAGTTTATTTCAATGTTCGGAAGCATTAGTGCATCTAGAAGTAATTAATTTTTAGACATCAAAAGGCACAGTTTGTGCATAATGCCCCATCGTCAAAACAGGTGTTTCAATTTTTGGTTTCAACAAAACTTTCAACAATGGAAGGGCAGTCTTCTTTAATTTATATGCTCAGTGCACAAGGTGTCCTGTATAAGTCAAACATTCATTCTGCAAAGCTGGTCTGCAAGTTCTGTTCCTTATCCCTGTAACATGAATAAGGAAGAATAAGGAAATGGGACACTTTTTCAGACAGGCTAGGAGCAAATTAATCAAGGATTCAATTTTCCACACAATTTCAGCATCCTTCCTGACCAAAGTAAGGGAAGTGAATGGCTCATACAGACCCAGCACAGGGTGAATGATCAGGAGCAAATTGGAAGGACAAAACTGTACCATAGATTATAAGTCATTTCAGAACAAGCACATTTTGTCAGCTTCGCCAAAACACCAAAAAAAAAATGTGAGCAACCAGCAGCTGCCTTCGCCCATAGCCCGTTCGGAGAATCAACACATTTTCCACTGATTGTGGCCACTTCTTCATTCGCAGACTCCAGGAATCCAGGTCTGGGCGCGGACCCTGTTTTGCGGAAACTCTGGATCAGGAGACACAAAAGTTGCTGCAGGGATTCTCTCTCCCAGGCTTTGGAACAGTAATGTGGGGGAATTTTAGACTTGGTTCAGCTGGCACAGAAAAGCTTCATAGGTCTTCCACAAGAGAACTGGATCGATTACTTTAACAACTGTGGCTCCTGCAGCAGAAAGGTTTTGAGGTGCCTGTTTTTTTCTGGTTACACTGGGGGCGGAGGGGATCGAGACGAGAGATGTTAAAAACAGGAAACCCAGCTCTAGTCATCTCTCAGTATTTTCAGGTACCAGCAAAGCCAAAACAATATTCCCTTTTATCTCTCACCACATCCTTTGCTTCAAATTCATTCGCTGCAGCTCAGTATTTATGATAAAAACAGCCCGCTTCATCGCGAGAGGCCAGGGGCCTGAGCAGGAGCACGTCTCCACTGTGAAAGAGCTTTAACAATAAAAGGGCTGACGAGCACAGGTGTTGCTGCGGTCCGAAAAGCTGCAGAAAGCTCCCCTGCACCTTCTTGCCCTCACATTGATGACAAATGCGGTATTTTTCATTTGACCTAGAAAATCAACGTTATGCGTTTCGCCATCTGGGAAATAAAAAAAATGAAAGTGGCAGACCCCAACGCATTTCTGAGACTCGCCCCCACCACAAATAGTTTTTCAAAGCTGGAGATGGCACAAGCTTTCCCAGTCCAGCAGCAACCAGCATAAACTTTCTGGACCCACACACACTCAAAGCCCACAGACCAGCACGTTGAAGTTCATGGTTTTATTGGGGGGGGTACAAAATGGTAATTAAAAAAAGATTTAAAATTCATGTTTTTTTCTGTGCTATATAGCCTGATATCTAAAACACTTTACTAACCCTACAGGTTCACAGACTCCACCGGACCATTTTGAAGTAGCCAGACATTCATTGGCCATCTGATAACATCGAATACATGCGAAGGAGAAAAAACATCCCTTCTCACTAAAACGTCACTTTTGGGTGGTTAAGGCTGTTGGTTTGTCATACCAAAAACTGGCAACGTAGTTCATATTTCCCTGAAAGATAAAAATCGACAACATTTTCAACACCACAGCCTCAATCGCCCAAATTAAAACTACAAATGGACCAGATTTCCCCCGTCACGGGTTTTGACAGATCTAGAAAAACACGAAAGCGCAGACGCTCTCCACATCCCACAGAGGAAACGGACAGGAAGGGGGATGAAAGGAACGAAAGACCTTGCGGGGGGCCGCGACCCTGCCGCCCTCACTCGTGCTTCTCGCCGGGACCCTCGTCCGGGGCCGGCTCGGCGGGCGGCTCCTCCGGGGCGGCGCTGTTGCTCTCCGAGCCGGTGTTGCTGTCGCTGGTCCCCTCCTCCATGACGCTGTCCCCCCCCTCCGGCACGCTCTCCTTGTCCTCCGTGGTGGACGCCCCCTCCTCGCTGGCCTGCTGGCCTTCGGAGGCCTCCTCCGCCCGCGGCTCCTCTGCGGACGGACAGAGACAGACAGACGGACGCGGGGGGCGTTACGCACAGGCCTGAGGGCGAGCACGCGCCACAGGCGACACGCGCCGGCTGCAGCCCAGATACGAGTGAAGCTGCAGCGCAGGGAGAGCGACACCAGCTCTTCAGAAAAAGAGACAGCGACCCCATTGGACACGACGTGCGAGATTCACGTATGATCCCAGCTACATGGCACCCGGATGTGTCTGGAGCGCAGAGGAAAGTGGACCAGCACCTCAGCGATTTACTATAAACCCTGTGAAACCTTCGCTTTTCCAGTGGCTCAAGCACAGCAGTAACTGTGGTAAGCGGTGGTAACACAAAGGCAGAAGAAAGGTTCCTGTGAAGTAAACGTGTGCACCGCTAGGCAGAGTCTTGTGCTGATTTGACCGGCCTTGGAGAGAAAGCAGTACAACAGAAGTTCCTCTGCAGAACAACACAATACCGTAATTATGACACTAATGATCTCAAGAGCCTGGTGGGACAGGAATATTTCACAGCCATGCAAAAAAGCTACCACCAAGGGGCGCTGTAACACAAGATTTTCTTCACTTTCGCACGAGGAAGTTGCTTTTCAAATGCTCCCACTTGAGATGTCATTTATTTTTTACTTTGCCATTTCAGACTGAGCTGATCACCTTTCATTTCTTGTGTTGGAACACAGCGAAGACACGGGTTCACCACGTCAGACATGCAAGAAGACCCATTTAACATCCGACAGCTTTTCCATAAATGTTAAAAGATCCCATTTCATCCAGCATCATGCATAACTTTACCGGACTGAACTACACCAGGGTTCATAGGCCATAACAGACAAGAGTCAGTGGGGTCTCAACGAGTCAGCACTGTCTTATATGGACGGTTAACATGTCTGTGCAAGGGTGCAATACTATAAAGAAAAACAATATTTAAACAAAAGAATGATTATATTAGGACAAGTGCATCTGTGTGTCTGTGTGTCTCATGGAGAGCAAGCTGAAGACAAATTCCTAATACAAGAAATTGTATAGGGTTAATAAAGTGATGTTATTATTATTATATTCTCAGTTTATGGACAGGTTTATAAGACCAGCAGTGTGAAGGAACATCAGGGCTCTGGACTGCTGTTGTGCCCTTGTGCAAGGCTCTGTGCTCCAATAAAAGCCCAGCTGCACAACTGGACAACTGAAGAAAAGTGTCAAATAAATTAATGATCACCTGCTGAAAACAACAAACTGTTTTGTACAGTTTTGTAACAACCAAGGACCTGTTTTTTCTCATTGTACCATGTCTTTTCACTTTTCACAGGAGCTGGGCAGCTTTGCTTGCAGAAAACAATGTATTGCAATAGGATTTCAAATTTAAATGGGCTTGTACTTGTACCAAGAGGGGTTTCTTGAAGAGGGGTACCCCTCAAAAAAGAAAAGGCTGAGAAGCCCAGCAGTGGGTAAACTGTGTTGGATATCTGTGAGGGCTGAGGAAAGGATGAATGCTGTCCAGTCAGACCCAGACCTACTTCTTCGTCTGCCTGTGTGAACAGGGGGAGGGAAAAGGAGACCGCGTCACCGCTGGGAAAATCAATTTAATGGCTTGGCAGCAAACTCTGCTTCCATCAGCAAAATCTAGTTTTCACAACAACAATAATCCAGGTTACACCTTGAAATCCCCAAAACCAGTGAAACTGCCTGCGGATCTTAATGTGAGGAATAATCCTGCATTGTTTCAGGGATAGGGATTGTCACCTGTTGAAAGGCAAGATTAAGCTGGAACCCAACAGGAAAAAAAACTGACAGACTTTTCCCCCGTATCTGATCTTATCTATTTTCAGTTGACCTTTATGAGAAAATTTTAAAAAATGACTCATCGTCACACAAAAACATACCAAATGCGAGAGCAGAAACCATGCACAGTGAGGCTTCAAAATAATTCCAGCAAGGTTTTAACTAATGGAGTAATTATTTTAAATGTCCCTCCGTTGGCCAGATTAAGCTGCCTCCCCATGGCAAGCTGCCTTTCATGGGCACTGTGGGCCAGGCTGGCCCTGGGGTAACCCGTGGGTGGTGGTGGTGGGGGGGGGCGCTTTTTCGAGAGGATGCTCTTGAAAAGCAAAGCGCTTCGGTATCTCCAGTGCAGCACAGCAGAGCGTGAAGCCGTTCCGCCCAGGTGTCGGGGGATGAAATTATTCAGCGTGCATTTTTATCCGCCTTAGGAAGTCTCACGTGTGTAAGTTCAGTCATTTTAAAGAAAAGGGGAGCCGGAGGCGGTGAGTTGTATACAAACATCCCCAGAGAATCAAACAGTAATTAGTGACTTGAATCTGAACACGGAAACAGTGTGCATGCGTGCAGTTAGATGGCACACTGACAGCACAGCCAATTCAAGAGAATGATCTTCCACAGAGGGAAGCAGGTGAACTTTTAACTGGGCTACACGCACAGGGAACCTGTGAACAGTGGGACTCCTGCCATAAGAGAGAGAGATAAGATAAGATCACTTTATTGTATATACAATTATTGTATATACTGTATATTCCAATATATAATTTCTTGTATTAGAAATTAGTTTTTTCGCATACCCCAGCTTGCTCTCCATGAGACATACAGGCACACAGACGGGGAGAGAGAAGCTTGGGGTCAGAGCGCAGGGTCAGCCATTGTACAGCACCCCTGGAGCAGTTGGAGTTACGGGCCTACTCCGTTGGGCCCCCGAGCAAGGATT